TTCTTCTGCGGCCTAGGGTTTTCTATGCATGCACCACGCGGTACGCGGTGCAAACATTTCAAGAAAAAAATGCGTACAAAACCACGAACACAAGCCATGCAGCAGCGGGCTGCTGCTCCCGCCGGCCTGCGGCGGAGGCAGGAAGAAGATGAGGGGGCGATGCCCTTCACTTGCAACTGCAGCAGCATACAGGAGCAAGTAAAGCAGTAGCAGCTGCAGCAGCAGCAGCAGCAGCAGCAGCAGCANGCAGCAGCAGCAGCAGCAGCAGCAGCAGCAACAGCAACAAGGACAACGGTAGAGACTGTCCTCTTTGTTGTGGGGGCCAATCTCTTCACAAAAGTTTTGTTTGTTGCTGTAGCGCTGTCTTCTTCCTACCTTTTGTATGCAACTCCTTGTAAACCCTAAACCCTAAACCCTAAACCCTAAACCCTGGTTCCTATACCGCAGGGGCCAGGGGGATCTCTCGCGTTGACAGCCGGGAGAGTTTATTTTAAAGACTAACAGCTGTCTAGAGGACAGTTGTATAAAGATAGAGAACACAGTTGTTGTTGTTTCTAGTTTTTATAAAATAAAAAAAGAAATAATATAGTTGTTAAATAAACAAATATAGCTAGTTGCTTTATAATAAACATTATTCTTACCCTGAATACTACTGCAGCAAGAAACAATACACCTCGGTGTTGTTTTTTTGGTTTTTATACAGCTGGCGAGAGAGAGCTCCTAATAAAGAAACAAAGTTGTTTTATACAGAAATAAAGTTTTTAATAGAGAAACACAATTGTTTTATACACAAATAAATTTGTCTTACTAAATTCAAAGCAGAGGAATCGGTTTGTAAATACAGCGATGGGGTGTACACGCAGCTACGGGGCGTACAGCAGATAAACTTAAACTGAAAGTATCTGCTGCTGCTGCTGCTGTTGCTGTTGCTGCTGATGTTGCTGCTGCTGTTGCTGCTGCTGCTGTTGCTGCTGCTGCTGTTGCTGCTGCTGCTGTTGCTGCTGCTGCTGTTGCTGCTGCTGCTGCCGTCTGCATATACGCCATCGTCGGTGGGCGGGAGAGGTGAATCCTCAGCCAGTTTACCTTCGTTTCTTTTTTCGTTTGTATGTGGTGCTTCCTCTCCTCGTCTATTTCTTCTATTGATAGTTGTTGCTGTTTTGTTTACGTTACTTGCTGCCTCTCTTCTGCTGCCTCTACCTATGGTAGTGCAACTACGCCAATGCTTCATGTTCACTAATCTATGTTTACTGTGTATATTAAGAATACATTACTACATACAACAATATACTACACTATATATACTCTAGATGAATATATTATCTAG